TCTTTCCCTTTTCTCTCCACCCCAGAAGGTTAACACTTGACTTATTCTTGACTCATGACCTAACAATCTTTGTGCGCTGGATTTTATTAAATCAACCATTGTTTTCTGGTCACGTGCTCTGCGTCGGACATTGCGCTAAGTAGGACTCATAATATTGATATTTGGGACTGGGTCAGAGATTGAATTTGGTGGCTTGTGAAGTTAGACCACCTGGGCCTACAGGTCCTGAACAGACAAGACTCCCATCAACATGAAGGGTCCAGGGGGCACTGAAATAGATCCCACCCACATATCTTCAACTGCCTGGAGCCCAGACCTGTGGGCAGGACCCTGACTGCAGCTCACAATCAGGGTTCAGGGCTGCAATGACTCATTGATGGTGGGGTGCTCCCCAAGGAAGAAACACTGGAGTCCCTGAGAGAGGGCCAGTCCCTCCAGAGAGGTCTGGCCACGTGTACCAGCGGGAGTAGCAGGGATCAGAGTCCGGGAGGGGCTGCCCGCGGGACCACCCCACACGCAAGTGCTGTTAGGAATTACCCTTTGCTGGGACGTCATCAGTGTCCATTACAGGACGTGATGGTTACAGCAGCCCTACCAACTCTGTCACCAAGTTTCCCAGCAGAGATGTTGATGAAAATGTGGTTGACATCATATGACTCTGTGATGTCATCCTTGCAAAGCCTCCAGGGAGAGCTTCTCTACGCACAGTGCGAGGACGCTCGTCAGTAACTGGGCTGCATTCACGTCACAGAGCCTGAGTTTCGTGCTGGGTCCACTGGGCTCTTCCCACTGGCTAGGAGACACCTGGAACTCAATGAGACCCCGCTTTCCCCATGGGGGGAGGGCCTCACTGCACACGGTGGACCCAGGTCTCAGCTCTGGATCCTTCTCACCTTCTTTCCTGAATTGGCCTGATATGTCCCTTGGACTAAGTGCCAGCTGGCTCTAAGGTATCGACGCGGCTGTGCTGTTACCTCTATAACCACCCTGTTACCTGCTGGGGGCCAGCAGTAAACAAACCCAACAGTGCCTGTCACAGGTGGTGATTCATATGAGCTCCCTGGCTCGGCATGACTGAAGCAGATGTCATGGGACAAGTCAGGGCCGGAGGTCCCTATCCAAGTGTTCCCCACAGAGAGGGGACAGCTGAGATGCAAGAACAGAAGCCACCTCAAGGGGGGAGGGGCAACAGAGAACCAGGAGAAGGTAAGGAGGGCGCCCTGAGAGGGGCAGGCAGGGGTGAAGCAGGGCAGGGAAGCATCAGAAGCCACAGGAGCTGAGTGCAGCGGACGCCCGCCAGTGTCAGATGCGACAGACGAGCTCCAGAGAGGAGGGCTAAGAAGACACTGACGCTTAGGAGGTGTGGTAACCATGTCGGTGTCAGGGCAGGGGACAAACGGGAATTGCCTTGGTCACGAGGCTAAAGGTACAGGATCGGTGGCAGCCGCAACACAGCCACGATCTGGGATGTCTGAGCGTGAAGCAAGGCCCGTGTACAGAGAGGAGAGAGAGCCTGCAGGAAAGACGGGATAATGAACTTGGACAGCAAGGAGACAGGCAGGGGCAGGATGAAGAGTGGCCGGCACTGGAAAGGAGGAAGGACCAGGAGAAGAAAGGGAAGGTGATACCCACGATATCCGGAGGAAAAGTACGGAGTGAGACCACCGGTCGTCTGAAGGCAGGAGGTTCTCTGCCAGGAGGGAGGCGGGAAGCAGCCAGGTTTAGGAGGGAACAGCCGAGGGAGGGTTAGGGCAGGTATCAGTAAGAGCAAAATCACAGGGGCCCTGGAGCGTCGGCAGAGAACTTTCTAGACTGCTGGTTTCACCGGTGCCCCATTCGTTTGCTCACGCTGGGGCATGTGACACTAACCCAGTGACAGGAACAAAAGTGTCTGTCTGCCTGTCCATCTGGCTGTCAGGGGCTGACTCTACTTACCAAGAATCCACACAGTCCCTTGTGCCCTTCACTATTATGCTTCATAATTACATTTTACTTATACTCATTTGTATACATCAAAGTGCTTTTTTAAAAAATAATTCCTATACAGTCTGATGTCCAGACTGATCCTAATACAGACTGATGTAAAATACATGAAAAGCACACTTTATTCAACTATTTCCACAGGAGGATCAAAGTTTCAAAACTTTCCTCTTTTTACTTCCCTTTGAAACTGTACATACAAAACATTGTATCTGTAGAAAAAAGGACCCTATTACAGGTCATCACATTTATGCCTCTAAATTATTTTCTTCGTTTTAATTATGCATCGTGGAACTACAGAGCCCGACCTAGTCCTTTTCGTACGTAAAAAGTACACTGCTTGGAAAGGCAATTTTGTAATCAGCCGCAGAGATGTCATTATGCAGTAATCATATGATTAGTAATTTTATCATTTACATATTTAACTGAGTGTGAAGATGTAGCAGAGACAAAAAAGGAAAACATTTTAATGCTCCTTCCTCCAAGTTCGCACCTGGCTATTCATTTGCCACTCCTGCCTAATGGGTTTCTATTCTACAAATGTCCTTTTAAAGATCTTATACATCAGTTTTATGACCTCTAGGAAACATACGTCAGCATTAGGCAACGTGTAAATTCACACACGCCCCCGTTTAACAACTGTTGCTTCACCCTCAACCCCATTTGTGTCACAGCCTGCAAAGTCTTCCGGAAAAATGGATTCAGAGCAGGGGGGCCATGCAGGCTTTGCCTAATAGAGTGGCTCACAGAGAAAGAACAAGGAAGCTTTCCAAATCCACATCAGGTTCAAGGAGGTTGACTGCAGATCCGACGCTGACTTAACTTAAGACTGTGTGAAGGCTCAAAGCCATGTTATGGACAGCCCTAGATCAGAAGTTTCCCTTCTCTCCCCAAACTCCTGTCACATCAGGGTCAATGGCACCCATTGTCCAACCCCCAACATCGCCCTGCAAAGAGCCTCAGGCCAAATACAATCACTGCATGACTTCATTTAAATATCAAGACAAGACTCACCCTTTTCCTTCAACTATGGCTTCTTTAAGATGAATATATGAAGCAGGAAATATACCCTTTGGGAGGAAAAACAGTAGGTTTTATTATTAATATGACTACTGATTGCAAATCAAACGACTGCTCCCCCAAAATGGAGGTGGGGATGGCTGGATCACTATTAAATCTGCAAGTCTAATGCTAAGTCTCATACACAACATAGCACAGAAAACAAAGAAGTGTAAAAGATGGCAACTCCTTCCGCTTGTGTTTCAAAGAGGCTGCAGATGTCTTAGAAGAAAACAGACGCAATCTGTTTGCAAAGAAAAAATCCCACAGGGACTTTGCTGTGTCTTCTCCATGGGTCACACCTCGTTTTTACTGCTGACTTCAACACAGGAAGATCCACAGCCAAATGATGCCTAAGAACAATTTCTGTCAATGGCTTCTGACGGTTCTTCCTTTCGAAATACTAACATTGTCATCAAAAGTTAGTTTATACCGTTGATCATCACATATGCACTGACTGCTTACCTGACCCAAGGAGACTTTCTCAACAATCTCCAGAGGGGCCGTCAGACAAAATAGAGAAACTGGGTGCATTTCGCCCAACCTGCCAGACTCCTAGGGGGAGCACACCAGGTTATACGAAGACAGTGCTTGGCACCCCCAAGTGTACGGCACACAGGGGCCCAAGAGACAGTTCCGAGGGAGACAGCTCCTCAAGAGGACGGTGTCAGGCGCCGTGCGTGAAGCGCCAGGAGCTCTACCAAGAGTTCTGGTCCTGCTTCCTGAGCAAGGACACTACCTCCCTTCCTGGAGGGCAAGCAATGCGGCACCAGGCCCTGGGATCTTGCAACGATGCAACGCAAACAGGTTGCGGCTTCCCACGTGAGATGTAATGCACGCAGCGAAAAGCCAATCAGTGGCCCTGGTGGCTTCGGGCACCTGCTGTGGGAACAGGAGCTTCCGACTAGGTTTCCCTGGCATCTGGCCCCAAAGGATTTCCACAGGAAATCCAGAAACCACCCTACTAATCCTGCTTGGGAAGGGGGCATGGGCACCACTGGTTCAGATTCCTCCTGCCTGCCAGGGAAGTGGCCGCACTTCATGTAAAGAAGAATTATCAGAGAGAGGGAAGGAGTCAGGCAGAAAGACAGAGGCTGAGCACCAAAGAGGACTGCGGGTGCCCAATGCTAGGACACCTCCAGATCCCAGGACGGTCTCCAGGTGCACATTTGATGTCAACAGGTGAGCACGGGGCGGGGAGAGACGACGGGACGGACACATACAAATAAGCCAGTCTCGCCCCCTGCCCATGTCCAGAGATGTCCCTCAGTCTCGGTAAACCTGCTCTCGAGAATCATGGAGCCACAGAAGGGACAGTGAAAGAAATGAGGCTGGATACATCTGGAGGCTTGAAATAAGTGACTTTTTTTTTTTTTAATTCATTTTATTTTTGGCCGCATTGGGTCCTCGTTGCTGCGCGCGGGCTTTCTCTAGTTGCGGCGAGCGGGGGCTACTCTTCGTAGCGGTGCATGGGCTTCTCATTGCAGTGGCTTCTCTTGTTGCGGAGCACAGGCTCTAGGCACGTGGGCTTCAGTAGCTGTGGCACGCAGGCTCAGTAGTTGTGACTCAGGGGCTCTAGAGCACAGGCTTAGTAGTCGTGGTGCACGGGCTTAGCTGCTCCGCGGCATGTGGGATCGAACCCATATTCCCTACATTGGCAGGTGGAATTCTTAACCACTGTGCTACCAGGGAAGCCTAAAATGAGCAACTTCTCTAGCTGGGGCGGTCAGGACCAGCCCAGATCTATTGCTCATTTGTGAATACCAATAAAAGGATGCTTCCAGAACCCAGAGTCAGGTTAGTAGGAGCCAAGTCCCTTCTCTGCTACTGCCTGGGGCAGGGGTGCTGAGGCAAAATCACGACCTTTTTAAGGCTTCAATTTCCTCATCTGCTAATGAAGACTTTAGGTGGAAAAATAAATATGCCCCTACCCAGCTCTATGAGCTGTAAAATCAGGGCCCTGTGGTGCAGGGTAGGAAGGATTAGGGCTCACGGAGGCATGGGGAGTTGGGAGAGATCCCCGACTGGGAAGGTGGTACCAGACACCAAATACCAAATATCAAAGAAAAGTGAACAGCTTCCCTGGGATGCACCTAGCACATGAAGTTGCAGCTTTCTCACTGGGGAGGGGGAATATGGTCCATGATCCTAATCCCTTTATTAATAAAGTCTTCAACTGTGGCTTTCTCACATGAACCTCAGGTTTTCATCTGCAGGAATACAGTCTTTTTTTTTTAAAATTGAACTATAGTTGATTTACAATGTTGTGTTAATTTCTGCTGTGCAGCAAAGTGACTCAGTTAAATACACACACACACACACACACACACACACACACACACATTCTTTTTCATATTCTTTTCCATGATGGTTTATCACAGGATATTGAATATAGTTCCCTGTGTTATACAATAGGACCTTGTAGTTTATCCATCTTATATGTAATAGCTTGCATCTGCTAATCCCAAATTATGGAAGAGATAATCAATGTGAAAATAGAACTCTCCCTGGAGAAATCTCTTCCACCAGCCGCCTGGTTGGAATCTACCTTGTTCAAAGTTCAAGGCTCCAGGTCATTGGATGTGTAGAGACTCATAGCCCAGTCTGAGCTCGGCAGGGCAGAGGTGGGAGGTCTTGGCTCCCATTTGCAGATCTGGCTCACCAGGTATCCCTAACAGCATCTCTCACATTAGGACAGACTATGCCAGAGAAAGGCTGCCGTGAAGCTCAGCCTGCATGCCTCCGAGGTGACTGTATTTTTTTAATTCAGAGAAAGAGATATATAAGGACAACTCTTAGGCGCCATGAGACAGAATTTATTTCCTCGCCTATTGTGATTTATGAAGGGACATGCACCGTGTTTAATAACAAGGACTTACCTTCTTAGACTTTTTCCTTAAGGTGTAACCTCTGTACCACCCTAAACAAACACAAAAGCGAAACAGTTAGTACAAGGAGACATCACAGCATCCTAACAGCACCTTCCCGCTGTTGAGAATTCATTGTTTGCAGAACCCGGGAAGTCAGCCCATAACAGAACTCAGTAATCCTAAGGTTTTGGAGAGATGCTATGGCGTTTCCTAAACAGCATCTCAAAACCACGCTTGAAGCCTGGCCAGGGGCCTCTTCACACAGACCTCCAGCTCCTTCACCTGCACCTGCCGCACGCAGCCTTGAAGGCGCCAGTGAGAACTGAGGAAGCACAGCTCCAGGAGGAGGCGGGTCCTTTTGACCACCCGGCCCTAGGCAGGCTCCTGGACTGTGCATTTTCGTATCTGTTCCTCCGCCGGATGGAGCGGCGTCACTGCCAAGTGCACATACCAGCATCCTCAGATCATCAAGAGCTGCCGCAAAACAGAAATCCTATTGAGAGCCGACTTCCTCCCTCTAAGGGATGGAGGGGGGCTTTGCCCTGGAGCAGCCACGATCACACAAAGTGCTTCTATGGCAAAGACTGGACCCCCAACAGGAAGCACCGGGCCCAGGAATACGCGTCCGCCTACCCCCTTGGGGTCTGGCCTAGATTCAAGTTCCCAATCCCTCACGTGGGGAGGACAAGCAAACAGAGCAGAAGACAGACGTGCTAGCACTGTTGGCAGGAATTAAATGCCAAATGGAAGAGACATTCAGTGCCCGACTGGACCTGACCACTCCCTTGTCCCCTCCACTTCAACTGAGGGCAGAAATCGCCCCTGCCAGTGCCCAGGGGTCCACGGCCGGTCACCCACCTCCCAACAACTACGCCGCGGCAGGACGTCGGTGGATGTTTCCTTATCCCAAACACTCTGAAGCTGCTTTAGGCCACCTCACTCCAGAAAAGGAAATCAGAAGCTCAGAAAAATTCCAACTCAGCCCCCCAGGAGCAAAAGGACGGAGAAACTTGGAAAGTGCCAGTCGAGTCAACTCCCAGTGAACATCCAAGTATTGGGTTTTTATACAGTATGAAATAGTCAAACCTCGGAAACCTGGGATACATGAATGAAGGTGCCCAGAAACTGAAAACGGGCCTATATTGCACCAATGACCACACACCTCTAACAGAGCAATAATTTAACAACCAGAGGTGGAGAGGAACCAGAAAGTGATGGGGTTAAGATCCTCCAGGCACTATGAAGAGATGCCTTCTGAGCATTCAGAAAAGAAGCTGGAAATTGCTAGGAGCCTCGCAAAGGATTTGCTAAGACCTGGATACAACCAATGAACCCATTTCATTTCCTGACAAGGCAACTACACAGATTGATTAGGGGCACCGCAGATACAAAATGCCTAGATTTTGCTGCACATTTGGAGGATTACCTCCTGAGAGCCATGCACTGTCTCCTTCGGTGGTTTCTACCTGCCAAGGCCAGAATCAGCATCCACCCAGGACAGTGTTCACAGACAGCGAAATGGAAAAAGTTCAAAAGGCTGTATTCAATGTAAAGGACTGTCAGCTATCCTGTTATTTTATCCTTCCCGTATTTTCAGTATTACTTGGCCCCTTCTTTTCTGAAACTGACATGGGATGAATGTCCTAGAACATCTAAGGAAATACTTCAAAGTGACAAGAAGACAGAAACCAAGTCAAAAATAAACAATGTTTATAAACAATGTATAGAAGAAGGAACCTAAAAGACTTACACATGAATGAAGAGATGCTCACACTAATAATCAGATAAAGGAAAATTTAAAACATAATGTTACTGCACGGTTATTATAGGGAGAGAAATCTCAACGCTGCAGGATTCCGGCAGCCCCTGGCACTGAGGATGGGAGTGGAGACCACACAGCCAGTGTGAGCGTGACCCTACTTATCCAGTGTATATAACCCCACACCCCGCGAGCAGCCGTGCACCCCAAAGACATCCCGCATACCCAACCACACGCAGCGGGGCAGACACAGGAGGCCCATGGCAACGTGATCTAGGGGGGGCAGAATGAGTGCCCAGAACTGGAGGGTGGTTAGCAAAACGTGCAGGTGCACACAGAGCAGTGAGGGCCACGGACTAAATATATACACACAACAGGACTGCATCTTGGAGCATAGTGCTGAGTAAAAAGGTAAGAAACAGAATGAGGGTCTTCCCTGGTGGCGCAGCAGTTAAGAATCCACCTGCCAGTGCAGGGGACATGGGTTCGAGCCCTGGTCCAGGGGGATCTCACATACCACGGAGCAGCTAAGCCCGTGCGCCACAACTACTCTAGAGCCCGCAAGCCACAAATACTGAGCCCATGTGCTGCAACTACTGAGCCTGCGCTCTAGAGCCCACGAGCCACTACTACTGAGCCCACGTGCCACAACTACCGAAGCCCGTGCACCTAGAGCCTGTGCTCCACAACAAGAGAAGCCACCGCAATGAGAAGCCCGCACACCGCAACAAAGAGGAGCCCCCACTCGCCACAACTAGAGAAAGCCCGCGCGCAGCAACAAAGACCCAACGCAGCCAAAAATAAATAAATAATTTTTTTAAAAAAAGGAAACAGAATGAGAGCTACAACCACATTTATATACATGACCTAGAGAGGTGGGATAGGGAGGATGGGAGGGAGGCTCAAGAGGGAGGGGATATGGGGACATGTGTATGCAGATGGCTGATTTGCTTTGTCGTGCAATAGAAACTAACACGGTATTGTGAAGCAATTATACTCCAATAAAGATCTATTAAAAATATTTATATATATATATACATACATACATATATATATGCGTACCACAGTACAGGCCAAGAGAAAAATTCACTTCAAACACAGCAGAAGGGTTTTCCAGAAGAAGGGAGAGAAGAAAGAGTTGAGCTACCGGGATAAAAAGATAAGGGGTCCTTTGATTTTACTTTATGATAACAGACGGTGGTTTCTTTTTTAATGGCCTCTTCCTAAGCAAAAGGAACACCTAGGCTTTCCCTTCCCAAGAATTTCTGCGTCTGTTATTCGTTCCACCAACTGAGAACCCAGACTATGTGCCAGAGGCCACACTAGACAGGGCAAATGTAGAAATATCAATAGATTAGACCCAATTTCTGCCCTCCAAGGGCTCACACACCAGAAGATTCCCCTACGACAAGCAGGGCTCAAACCACCACCAAGGGCAGAGATTTGAGCATGAAAGAGAGAGGACGTCCCTGCAGAGGTTTCATGCAGGGAAGTGGGGGGACACAGAAGGATGATGAGTGGCTGCTGCTTTGGAGGGGCAGGCCAGAGGGAATGCAGCTATAGGAGCAGGAAGGTGCATGGCTCATTGAAGTAACAGGCTGATTCACTCCTCCCAGGTAGGGCTCAACCAACCTGCTCCAAACAAGAGACACCCACCCCCCAATGGCAAGTATAGGTCAGACGTAGTCCTGAAACTCAGGGAGGGCCCGTCCAGCCCAGGAAAATGGCAGCCAAGTCAGTGGGTACACTGGAGCGTTCCCAACAGGACAGGAGCACACACGCTCAAGTCCAGGGCTGGAACCAACTGAGGACAGAACCAGGCAGAACAAAGCAGGTGCAAGGGAGTCGGAAAGGAGCTTCTGCCCAGGGAGGTGTGCTTAGGCGGAGTCTTCAAGGATGGCTAGTCAGATGGAGGAAGAAGGGAGGCCCGGCAGAGCACAGGTGCAGAGGAGAGCTCACCAAGCACCTGAGAAGCCACCAGCAACAAAGCTAGGACACGCGTGAGAAAAAGGCTGGGGGGACCTCCCTGGTGGCGCAGCAGATAAGCCTCCACGCTCCCAATGCAGGGGGACCAGGTTCGATCCCCGGTCAGGGAACTAGATCCCACACGCATGCCGCAACTAAGGAGCCGGCGCAACCAAATAAGTAAATAAATTATAAATATTAAAAAATAAAAGGCTGGGGCTCAGGTGGGACAGGAGGAAACCATATCACTAAGGTCCTGGGTCCTGCCCAACTCACAAGTACCTGCCTGGATGGACAGCACAGTCACCTGTGTCAGGTGTACTGTGTCCTGCTCTGAGTACTGAACAACAAGACAGCCAAAGGCCGGATCTGACCAAACCACCTCCTAATGGACAGCATCTGCGTGCACAGTGGGCGTTCTGGAGCTGTCCTGGGTACAATATTTTGCAGGCACCCGGGGCGGGGGCGGGGCGCAGACCCAGCCCAGAGGATGGAGGTTCTAGAAGCAACACAGGATGAGAGCACAGCTGCGGTGCTCTTCCACTAGGCTGGGGCCAGGTGGCCAGTCACCTGGGACAAGGTGCAACGGATGCCTGCTGGGTGGAGGCTGCACTGGAGGCCCTGGTGGTCTTCTGTGAAATGAGAGCCTTATCAACATGACTACTTTTTCCAGTTTGTTGTGGGCTGAATTGTGTTCTGCCCACCCCAAACAGATGCTGAAGTCCTAACTCCCTCCACCTGTGGGTGTACCCTTATCTAGAAATAGGGTCTTGGCAGATAATCAAGTTAAGATGAGGTCATTACAGTGGACCTAATCCAATACAGTGTCCTTATAAAAAGGAGGAATAGACAGTCAAAGTCAAGCACAGGGAGGACGCCATGTGATCATACAGGCAGAATCTAGGGCGTTGCATCTACAAGGCAAGGAATGCCAGCGATGTCAGCAAACCACCAGAAGCTTGGGGAGACCCGTGGAACAGCTTGCCCCTCTCAGCCCTGAGAAGCAACCAACCCTGCCGACACCTTGATCTCGGACTTATAGCCTCCAGAACTGTGAGGGAGCACATTTCTGTTGTTTAAACTCCCCACTGTGTGGTACTTTGTTACAGTCGCCCCAGGAAACCCAGAGGCAGTCCTCTCAAGACCTTCAGTTGACAGACGCTGGTGGCAGGAAAAGGAATTAAGGTGCATTTTGGAAAATAGATCATTATCACTTTGAAAATTTTGAATAAATTAAGTTCCAGTGTTGTGGTTTCATCAAAAGAATGCCTTCCTAATCTGGGTGCAATGCTGTCCTCTCACACAGGCACAGCATCCAGCCTGTGGAGATCCTTCTGGAAATGAGCAGGTGACAGGATTGGCATCTCCTTGGCTGGAGAGTCACTTAATCAACATCGGTGACCTGGGCTCGCCTCTCCTGTCTGGTTGACCCTGGACACTGCTTAAAGGCAGAGGCATAGCCCAAATGACCCCTCAAAGCTCAGGCCACCTCCCTGGTGACCGGAAAAGTTCTTTTCTTTGTTCTGTGCTCCAAGCCTCCATGAGCCTGAGACAGAAAAAAATTAACCATAACTTGCAGGTAAATGTGTTTTTTGAACCTTAATATAAGGGATGATCATCTAGAAATTATATTCTCCGGAACAATCCCAGTAATATCCTACCCTGCACAGGATCACATAGAAAGGCAAAGTTAAATATGACAAAACCATAAATATATTTTCTTAGGGGAAAAGTGGAAGGGGTGAGGAGAAAAGAAGGAGAGAATGCCAAACGCTAACATAATCCATAAAATGTAAACACAACAAGAGGAAAGAGCAGAAAAACAATTATTCCATTGTTACTTGATGATAATAAAGTCACCAAGTTTCCCAAAATCAAAACAACTCCCCCAAATGCATTTCTCTGATCGGATTCTGACTAAAACCAAAAAAGACAGCAGCTAAAGAAGGGGAAGTCATTTTATGTTACAGGGTCTTTACAAAGACTGGAATATTTTTATCAGGACTTAGAAGATTGATGAGCCCGGAAACTAAAGTGCTCACTGAAGAATCCTTTATCACGATGCTGGCCAAAAAGTCAAATGCCTGCGACCAATTTTTTTTTTTTAGTTAAATGTACAGGGATCATCGACTCACCTAAGGATTCCCCTGTTTAAAGAGTGCATGCTTCTTACAAAGCAAAAAAACAAGAAGTCGCAGCCCCTGCTACCCCCGGCTGCACAGGAAATTGTTATCTCTTCAGGAATGACATCATTGCCCAGTGTTTATCAACCAGGATTTCAAATGCAACTGACCGGGGGCAGAAATAAAAAAAGATGTAAGAGCACTCTTCCTTCAGATCAGAAAAGTGTCTGAGATGAGAGCTTTGATCCTTAACCTCTAGTTAATTTCCCTATTTCCTCTCAGCCACTGGCCATATATATACTGGGAGCAGATAAGGCAATCCAACTGTCAGCTGTAAAAACTGAAACCAGGCAGAAGGTGCCCATTGCAGCTACTCATTCACATAAAGACCATTTTTGCAGTATTACATCTGCTTCCAGGCATATGACACAAAAGCTGATTTTTTCCCCCAGTAGGACATTTCTTAGGGTAAAAGGTGCAAATGGAATGGAATTCCAAGCCAGCATGAGTCGGATGGGGAAGTGAGGGACATGGACGTGGACATGGGTATTTTAATGGGTTTGCGCTTCTCCAGGAACACGGGAGCAAGCTGCAGCTTGCCTGGTGCACAGAAGCTGAACGCTGCGTCACTCGCGTGCAGAGAGGATTCCACAGACCGAGTCTGAAGATCAATTTGTGATTACTACGGGATGTCTGCAATTTCCTCTCCCTGTCGCCCAACCTCCTACTTGGAAGGGTCTGGTTAAACCCAATCTGAAAGCAATTTTGCTGTTGCAATTATCAATTTTAATCAGTTCTCTTTTTTCCTACATTATATGGAAGTCACCCCTTTGAACAAGAAACAAAGCCACCAACACTCCTCTCACACATGTGAGGAGTCTAAAACTCAAGCCCGTCATTGCTCCTTTTCTGTGCAATGATAAACCACAGCATAAAACGAAAGGTGTCCCATTTTAATGATCTGCAAAACCCTAAATATGAAAACCAATTGTCTGAAAACCCAAGGACATCAGGAAACCACTGTCACCGACAGTATATTTATTGGATAATTACAACAATTGCTTTACTGGACCACATTCCACAAAGCTGTGACAATCTCTGTTCACCACTCAGAAAATGGGGTCATAGATTTTTTAAAAAGGAAATAAGAAATGACAATTTTGGTTCCTCTCAGGAGGTTGTTAACAAGTCTAGGTGAGAGCATAAAAAGTCTCACCATTCACATAAAACACCTCAAAACAATGAGCTTAACACTAAAATTTCTTAAATGTATTTAAAAATTTTTTTCAAGTGGTCAGTTATTAACAGTCAAGATGGACATTCATTTGCAAAAAAGGAAACAATGGGGGTTTTTTCTTAACAATAAAACAACTATTTCAACAGAAAACTCGAGAGGTTAAAAGTTTAGGAATTTAGTTTTAAGTTCACCTTAAATTAAAAACAAAAAAATGATTTAAATAACAGATAACCTTACCACTGCCCTTTCCCGACACAGCATCTATCATGCAAGAAAACCTAACAGGGTAATGCTCTGCCCATTACGCACTGAAAAATGTACTAACTGCACAAAACTACAAACAGAAAGACACCAAAATAAATACGCACCTTCATACGTTTCCAGGATGTGCACAGTGTCTCCTATTTGTAAAGAAAGTTCATCCGCTCCCCTGGCATCATAGTTATAAAAAGCTGTTCAGAGGAAAAAGAGGTAAAAAGATATTAGTAAAGGTAACTATGCTGGATTGTTTCTGCCATTTTTAAGATTGAAATATTCAGTCTTTGCCTGGATCATCCCCTCTGATACCCACAAAAGGAGGCTTTTTTTTCAAGGGTCCTCAGTTTAAGAAGAAGAAATTCATAACTACTCGTAACACCAGAAAACCACAAGTGGTTTACTGTGGTAAAATACGTATGATGTGAAATTTGCCTTTTTAACTATTTTTAAGTGTACAATTCAGTGATGTTAGTTACATTCAGTGTTGCTCTCCCATCACCACCATCAATTTCCAGAACTTTTTCATCACTCCAAACAGAAACCCCATAACCATTAAGCAATCACTCCCTATCACTCCCTCCGCCAGCCCCTGATAACCTGTGACTCACTTTCTGTCTCTATGAACTTGACTACTCCAGCCACCCCATTAATCATACAGTATTATCCTTTTGTGTCTGCTTCGTCCACTTAGCATAATGTTTTCAAGGTGTATGCACATCGTACCACGTATCAGAACCTCATTTCTTTTTATGGTGAAATAATGTTTATAACAGAAAGAAAACTAAAGCTCTTGTCAACATTTCAATTATCACTTCATATACTATCTTATGTTTCCATTAACAGACTTTTTTCATTAGATGACTTCTTCCTATCTGTAAATCAATGACACATGGACTGAATATTTTTTGAAGACCAAACTGATTCTTTAAATTACCACATAGCCAATGCTGCTATTAAGCAATCAAACAGGCAAAAAATATGTCTAATATTAGGAAGCAATCCTTCAAACTGACAATATGCAACAAATGTCTGAAATCCCTGGGACTTCCCTGGTGGTCCAGTGGGCAAGACTCCGCGGTCCCACTGCAGGGGGCCGTGGTCCAATCCCTGGTCGGGGAACTAGATCCTACATGCCACAACTAAGAAGTCTGCATGCCGCAACAAAGATTCCGCATGCTGCAACAAGAACCCGGCGCAGCCAAAAATAAATAAATAATAAATTAATAAATAATGTTTTTTAAAAAAGCAGTTCTGCTCCTCCTAGCTAAGCACGTAAAAGTCATTCCATTAAATTCAGGCCATACTTTTGCTCAAGCATGGAGATAAAGGCAACTATCACACTGCTTATGACTCCCAAATATTCAATTAGCTTACTCTCAATAAGAATAGATAAATACAGTGATGTTTTTCCTTCCTAGTGGATTCTCCCTAAAAAGATGTCAGACTTGAGGCAAAATTCATCGTAAACCTTTCATCAATCAGGATCAAACCCTCATCCATCCATCCTGAACACCTTGTTGGACTAGGCTGTCCTTTACAGGCACCATTACTGTGTCCATTTCTGGAGTTCTCCCTGGTCACATCATGTGCAAACTTGTCCAACAAGCATGGGGGGCCTCCATCATCTGACTGACCGCCCGGCCCTCCTTCCAACCACACACTCCTGGCCCCTGTCACTGCTTCTCCTTGAAAGAAAGAAGTCACACCTGGTGTGTCACTCCTTATTCCTCCCCTGCCAAAGGGGTCTTCCCACCCGTGTCACCTCTTCCAGAGAGCCAAGTCCAAGCATGTGTTGGCTCTTTCAAACCCTTTCTACAAAAATACCCAGCAAGACAGCACACTTCCTGTCGCCAGCTCCATAACCAAGCTACATTTGCGGTCTCTGGCAGAATGGGCAGGATACCACCTCTCCCCAGGGAGACCTGGGTGACCTCCAGCAAATGCCCTATCCTCCACATCTTCAGCTTCCCCATCTGTATAATAAGGAGACTGATATCTACCTCATAGGATGGTGTGTGTACTTGGTGTCTTAAAGAAAACAATGCTGGGACTTCCCTGGTGGTCCAGTGGTTAAGACTCTGCACTCCCAATGCAGGGGGCCCGGGTTCCATCCCTGGTCGGGGAACTAGATCCCGCCGCATGCCACAACTAAGATCCTGCATGTTGCAAACAAGACCTGGCGCGGCCAAATTACAAAAAAAAAGAAATGGATCTGTTAATTTGATGCAATGTGTTGCCTGCAGTGAACACTTAGTAAATTGTAAAAGCTCTTATTGTGTTTGAGGGTATTTTGTTTTTACTGCCACAAAGACTTAGCAGACTATCACATGTTCACAAAGGTGCTTTGTGTCCACCTAGAGGGATGGGATATGGAGGGTGGGAGGGAGACACAAGAGGGAGGAGATATGGGGATATATGTTTATGTATAGTTGATTCACTTTGTTATACAGCAGAAACTAACACACCATTGTAAAGCAACTATACTCCAATAAAGATGTTAAAAAAATAAAATAAAATAAAACATCAATAACCATATACACATAGAAAATTCTATTTTCACAGTTATTTTCTGATATTTTCACCCATACTCATAAAATTTAAATGTCCTCAACTGACATAAATGGTTATTAGTAGTTATTAAGTTTATTTAGCATTTTATGGTGAATCTTTAACAAGAAATAACAGCAGTAGATAAAGAAAGCTCAAAACATATGCCAGGGGCCTCCCTGGTGGCGCAGTGGTTGGGAGTCCGCCTGCCGATGCAGGGGATACGGGTTCGTGCCCCGGTCCGGGAGGATCCCACATGCTGCGGAGCGGCTGGGCCCGTGGGCTATGGGCGCTGAGCTTGCGCGTCCGGCAATGGGAGAGGCCACGACAGTGAGAGGCCCACATATCGGGAAAAAAAAAAAAAAAAACACATCCCAGCCTCTCCCAGCCTAGCACAACCACTTTCAAAGCCTTTCGGAACCATAAATGCATTTATCATCGTTCTTAACAGCATCCTTGCCAGCATGCCTGTTCTATTACAGATGTGGAAAAAATAAACACATCAAAAACAATACAAATAAAATAAAATGGACAAGTCCACTGTAAATACATTCAGGTCCATGTGAATTTGTAAGGCATACACGCAAAAACCTTTAAGTAGTGGCCCCTCCATCTCTGAAGCAGGCAGAGAAAAGCAGTTGTGAAAATCTCATACAAGAATAGAGACATTTCAAATTTGACTATGAAATGAGGCTTTAAAGACCCATGATTTCACAGATGAAGGGAAAGGGAGCCTCAGAGGGTTTATGCACGTGGCCCCAAATGACACAGGAGAGCCTGGACCACAACAATGGCTGCCCAGCCCCCAGCCTTAAGGATCCCACATTTAAATGCAAATTAAAAGACTCAACTATACAAATTATTGGACAAGGAAGTGGGAGGGAGGAGGAAGTGTGGTAGATAGAAAAATGGCCCACAGAGACATTCACATCCAAATCCCAGAACCTGTGAAGATGCTCCCTTACACAGCAAAGGGGGCCAGCGCAGATGTGATTAGGTTAAAGATCTTGACATGGGGGTGCTAATCCTGGGTGATCCAGGTGGGTCCAATGTAATCACAAGGTTCCACAAGAGACAACAGGAGTGTCAGAATCAGCCAGAGATGTGACCATGGAAGCAAGGAAGGGGCCACAAGCCAAGGAGTATTGGCAGCCTCTAGAAACTGGAAAAGGCAAGGAAAGGACTCTCCCCAAGAGCCTCCAGAAGGAACAGAGAGCCCTGCCGAAACGCTGACTTTAGGACTTCTGACGTCCAGAACTATAACATTATAAATTTGTGTTGTTGGGCTTCCCTGGTGGCGTAGTGGTTGAGAGTCCGCCTGCCGATGCAGGGGAGGCGGGTTCGTGCCCCGGTCCGGGAAGATCCCACAGGTCCGTGAGCCATGGCCGCTGACCCTGCGCGTCCGAAGCTTGTGCTCCTCAATGGGAGAGGCCACGACAGTGAGAGGCCCCCGTGCCGCAAAAAATAAATAAATAAATAAATTTGTGTTGTTGTAAACCCCTAAGTTTGTAGTTTGTTATGGCAGCAATAGGAAACATATCCAGGGAGGAATGTGGAAAACAATTTAAAAGTGGTATTTTGTGGTTGATTTATTCACTGCTGAGCAGGGTTGCAAGCATCTGAACAAGTCTGAGGCTGAGGTTCCCTGATTCTTGGGTGATAGAAAAATGAGAACAATGCAGTGAATTTTTCTTAAATAAGCCCAAAAGTATTCAATGTAGAAGGCTATGCCTTATTCTGATTATGTGACCTTTCGAAGCTGCCCCTTTTTGGGGGTGGGGGGGGGGGTGAAAGCAGAGACGAGAAAGACCAGAGGTATCTTGTCCTTTACGAAGGATGATGATGACAGACGGCATCTGGCTTTAAAAATGTCTTTACTTGACAGAAGCACAGAGATGGCGGCCTTTCTGCAGTTTGTCTTCTTTATCTCTCTGGTCTGTTAAGATGTGGGAACACCTCTGCAAGAGAACATGGTCATCGCGCCTTCATTCACATCTTTGGAGAGAGCAGCCTTCACCTCCCTCTGGCTGGTGGGTGAACCCTTCATCAATTCCTCCCCCTCAAAGCCATTTACCTTTCTTAATAGCCTGGCTTGAAACGGCGTCACTGGGTATAAGTGCACCTTCCCATGAATTTCTCAATCCTGGACCGGAGAGTCCAGCATACAAGCTTGACGTGTTATTCGTGTGAAAAGTGAAATGGGAGCTGCTTTCCCAGGATGGCGTGTTTGGCAGGGGGTTGGGGGGGGTAGTTTTTTTCTGGCAGAGCTGGCAGCAGCACAGAGTAAGGAAGCACATGGATCGTTTTTTCCCAAAATAAAAAATAAACACTCTGGTCTGTGCTTCACACAGCTTAGATGCAACAGAGATGTTGAAAAGCCAAAGTCATCTCCTCTGTTCGGTCTCCTGATCACCCTAAAAACGGCTGCCCAGGAACATAAGGAAAGAACTGTGGCTCATAAATCATACAGGAGGGCTTCCATTTACACCAAGCTTATTAATAACACTGACGGTGACGATACTACAGATGAAGATGATGATGGTGGTGGTGGTGAGGGTGATGGTGATAGTGATGATGATGAGGGTGATGTGGTGGTGAGGGTGATGGTGATAGTGATGATGATGAGGGTGATGACGCTGGTAATGATAGTGGCTGACATTTACTGAGTATATTCCCTGGGCTAGCCAGTGGGTTAAAAGCTTCACATGTTCAGCTAATTAAACACTCACGACAGTCCTAGGAGGTGAAGATAAAATTTTTCCCACATCCCTCATCAGGGTTTATAGCAGCTCAGAGTCGGCCCATACATGAGCAGCCAGTGGAGGGGCTATACAGGGCCAGAGGCCAGCCTGGATGAGAGGCCAGAATGCCAAAGCCCTGCAGGGTCTCTTCCTCAAACTTCGCCCTCTCTGGGCCTCACGTTGCCCTCCTGATGGCTTCCCACACATCACAACATCCAGCCTGGATCCCTGACAGGCAAATGTGCCTGTGCATTCCGGAAGTCCACCAGGGTCTACAACATCATGGTAATGGATTTCTCATTCCTTACACAGAAGAACCCAAATTGAGGTAATTCCAGAAATGCAAGGTTGGTTTAACATCCAGAA